TCCTTGAAGCCCTTACAACAAAATCTCGATCTTCTGAATCAGGTTAACACCGACTGGAATCTTATACTGAAGCACATTGACATACAGGCACAAGATACAGAGAACATGATCACTAAAGAGTTTCACAAACTCCAGCATTTCCTACAGCAAGAGCAGGAGAAGAGGATCGCTGCAGTGAAAGAGGAGGCAGAACAGAAGCGCTTTATGATGAAGGAGAGGATTGAGGCTCTGAGCAAAGAGATCGAATCCCTGTCTGATGTAGTCAGAGCCACAGAGGAGCAACTAAGAGCCACAGACATCTCATTGCTCAAAAAATACCCGGCTACAACGAAAAGAGTTCAAAATCAATGTCTGCAGCAGGAGCCAAAACTGTCGTTTGGCGTTTTGGTAGATAAGGCAAAGCATTTGGGCAACCTGGCCTACAAGGTATGGAACAAAATGAAAAACATGGTCACTTACACTCCGGTGATTCTTGACCCAAACACTGCTGAGCCTCATCTTGTAATAGGTGCTGATCTGAGGACTGTACTATACAGAACAACAGAAACGGCGCTTGTGAAAAACCCAGAGAGGTTTGATAGATTCATCACAGTCCTGGGATCTGATGGTTTTACCTCTGGGAAGCACAGCTGGGAGGTTGAAGTTAGACACGACGTAAACTGGGCAGTGGGCGTGGTAAAAGCAACCAGCCGAAGGAAGGGAGAGACACTGACAGATTTCTGGGAAATATGGTTCGAGGACAATAAATACAGGGCGTTCGCTCCGTCACATACAGACAGAGTTTTGACTCTACGGCAACACATACAGATCATCAGGGTGACACTGGACTGGGACAGAGGGAAGCTGATCTTCTCAGACCCACTTACAAATACCACCATCTATACATTCTCACACAGGTTCACTGAGGCACTGCTTCCATTCATTAACACTGACAGTGAGACGCCATTGAGAATATTACCGGTGAAAATCAACGTTCAGTTGGACTCGTAGAAAACTGATATGCTGAGATCTTTTATATGCTGAGTTGTTGAGCACTTCAACCTCAGGCTCGTGGACAAGACGTGGTACTGTGAGATTGGATGCAATGATTGTATATAGACCAGATATGTCGCTGTTTTTTCAAAACATTTGAGGTGCACACGGCAAATCAGCTACTGTAGTATTTTTAATAGAAGACAGTACATAGGCAAAGGGAGTACTGGTAAATCAATTTAAAAAATAAATAATAATAATCTGGATGGTAAGCAGTAAGACCAATGTAGTAACCATGTAAGTATTGAATCATGTTGTGCCATATACAACTACATGTATTTAATCAAAGTTGTGCTTAAATTTGTGATTGCTTTTAAACAGCAGAACCACATAGTGTCACTGTGCTCTTTAAAATTG